GCACATGTCCCTGTATGTCTAAAACCCTGGGAAGAGAATAGAAGGGATTGTGGCCATCCTCCCAGGGGGTAATTTCTCACTTTCCCTCTCACTGCATCTGTCTGTCTCCCAGCCAACATATACACCCCAAGGCAAAACCTCTGAAAAAAAAAAAGTTAAAAAAATGAAAACTGCTTAATTAATTCTTACAGCCCTATGAGCATGCTTAAATGCTAACGAGGAACTATGGAACCAGAAGATGGCATAATGGTTACGTTGCTGGACTCCCACATAGTCAACTGCAGTTCAAGTCCTGGACCAGTGGCTTAAAACCCATGCGAGGTGCTTGTGCGTATGTGCCTAAAACCCCAAGAGGATAATGGGGGAGAAGAGATTATGGGGTGGACATCCCACCCAGGAGTGTGATTTCTTGCTTTCTGTCTCTCCTGCAAGCACTCGTGCCCTATAGCAAAAATCTCTAAAGAAAGAGAGAGAGAGAGAGAGAAAGAAAGAGAGAAAGAAAGGAAGGTCATGCTACTAAGGAACTATAAACAAAGAGGGTAACAATACAGGAGAAGGGAAAATTAAAAGAGCAAAGGCTCTGAGAATGGGGCTAGGCTTGGACAGTAGAAGGGACATTTCTTCTATTGTGAAGAGGAAAGAACAGAGGCAGAGCGGTAACAAGTTTTAAGTTTGTTTAAATCAAAATCTTTTATCGCAAAACTGATTTTCTCTATATTATCTAAAAGCTGAAGGGGAAAAAAACAAAAAACCTCTAATAAGATGTGTTGGTTTAACAGAAGTAACGGACGTGTTGGGACCACCAGATGGCATAATGGTTATGTCACTGGACTTCCAAGTAGTCATGTGTGCATGCAAGTCCCAAATCTCGAGAAAATGGAGAAGGAATTGCAGCATGGCCATCCCCCGGGGGTGACATTTTGCTTTGTGTCTTTCCAGTGAGTGCACGCACCCTACAGCAAAAATCTCTTTAAAAATAAATAGAGGTCAGCAGGTGACGTGGTGGTTAAGGGCACTGGATCCCACATGGCCGACTGTGATTCTCGTCCTGGACCTGGCAGCTTGCTTTCTTACTTTCCATCTCTCCCCCCCTCCCCCCCCATATCTGGTTAAATTAAAATAAAATAAAGTTAAATCATTCTTTTTTTCTTTTTTTTTTTTTGAGGTTTTTGCTATAGGGCACATGCACTGGTCAGAAAGACAGAGAGAGACAGAAGCAAGAAATCACCCTCCAGGAGGGATGGCCACGCCACAATCCCTTCTCCTCCCTTCTCCTCTTGGGATCTTGGGCACACACGCACACGTGCCTGATGTGAGTTTAAGTCACTGGGTCCGGGACCCGAACCACAGTCAACTACATGGGAGTCCAGCAACATAGTCATTATGCCAACTGCTGGTCCCACTAAATAATTCCTTAGAAATAAATAAATTAGGTGGTATGGTGGTTAAGGGCACTGGATTCCCACATGGCCAACCGCTGTTGAAGTCCTAGACCTGGTGGCTGGCTTTCTCACTTTCCCTTTCTCTCTCTCTGTCATCCTCTGACCAAATTAAAACAAATAAGTAAACAAACAAATAAATAAACGTTAAATAAAAAATAGTTCTTATAAACTAATTAATCCATTTATTAATTAACAGAAGAAAAAAAGAAGTAATAAAGTGTTAAGCAGAAGGTCATTAATTAACAGAAGCAAAAAAGAAGTAATAAAGTGTTAAGCAGAAGGGGGAAAGCAATGCTGCCTTAAATTGAGCAGGCAGAGGGCCAGGAGGTGGCATGGCAGTTAAGGGCTCTGGACTCCCACATGGCTTTACTGGGGTTTGATTTCTGGACCTGGTGGCTTGCTTTCTCACTTTCCCTTCCTCTCTCTTCTGGTCCAATTTTTAAAAAAAGTAATAAAAAATAATTTAAAAAATGTAGCAGGTGAAAGTTGGGCAGGTTCAATATTTCAACACCTGCTAAGTACCAGGTATGTCTGAAGCTTTGAGGACTCTGTGATGGTAACATGGAGATTGTCTGGGGTGGGGCTCTGTTGCTGTGGGCTGACCAGCACCCATATTCCACTCTTCCACTGCAGAACTTCAATTTCCCTTTGAGGATTCCATACCCAATATATTGCCATTTGATGGGACATGTGATCAAGATGCTCTAGCCAGAAAGTGGCCATGAGGCTCAGAGTTCTCTCCTGAGAAATCCTGAGTAACACAAGAAACAGGAATGGGGTATCACTGCAAAGCATATGCCCAGAAGTTGCTTCTCCATGGACCCTGACAGCTAACCTACGTCTTGTTCTTCCAAAGGCCGGTCCTTGGGCCCTTCCTTCCATTTCAGGAGTTGCATTCCTTCTTCTCATAAACTCCTGTTTGCTACCAAATGCAACCAAAGGATGGACAATGGCTATACCTCTACAGAACGTGTGCCAAGGGTGGCACGTGGGTAGATCCAAGATGAGCAGACCTCCTCCTCACTCCTTTTCCACCGTGTTCACGGTCCTCAATACGGGGATGGAACCATGGCGTAGCTCTTTTCAAAGACTGACAAATCCCAGCTAGGGGAATCAGCCTCTTCAGCCACAGTCATTTTTCATCTTTTTTGAGTGCCACATCGAATAACTTTTCAGAAACATACCTTAGGGAACGCTATCACATCATCACTATAGTTCTTAGTTCCACTCCTGTTTTACCATCTCCACAACAGTTCAGGCACGTCTACCAACAGCCATACCCTGGCATATGTAAATGAGTTCCATTTGTAAACCTCGACCTATGAAAGGTCTGCATAGGCTTCCTTTGTGCCACTAGGTAGCTTATATTCCCACTAGCATCGACTTATCCTGCCACGTTGCAATTACTTGTCCAACTTTGGTAGTAGCTGTGGTCTCTTTGAGGGCAGAGTATAAATCAGAGTCCAGCATAGTGCTCTGCAGCGTGTAATACCAAACGACGTACATAATACGAAAAGCTGGAATATTTCTTTGGTGAGCCAACCCCTTAAAAAAAGGACACTGGGCCAACAGGTGGCATGGTGGTGAAAGCACTGAACTGCCACATGGCTGGCTCAGGTGCGGCAACTTAGAAACCACACTGGGGCTGGCAGGTGATGTGGTGAAGGGTGCTGGATTCGCACACGGTCGACCATGGTTCCAGTCATGGCAGCTTGATTTCTCACCGCCCCTCACCATTAAATTAAAATAAAGAGAGTTAAAAAAACAATTCTTTCACAAAAAAAAAAAAAAAAAAAAAAAAAAAAAATTCACAGTAGGTGCATGCATGCGAGTGTCCCAAATGCCAGGAGAATGGAGATGGGACAGTGGCATGGCCATCTCCACTGGGAGATGATTTCTCGCTTTCCCTCTCAGTGTCTCTGTCTCTTTCTGGCGAACCCAAGGACCCTATGGCAAAAACCTTAAAAAAAAAAAAAAAAAGAGAGAGACAGGGGCCAGCAAGTGGCATGGTGGTTAAAGCACTGGACTCTCACATGGCTGACCACAGTTCAAGTCCTGAACCTGGTGGCTTCCTTTCTCTCTCTCTCTCTGGTGCCCTATAACAAATTAAAACAATAATAACAATAATAATAAATAAAATTAAATAATTATCTTAAAAAAAGACAAAGAACCAGTTAGAGGGTACACCCCCCCACCTCCACCCTGAAAAATTGCAGACTCTGAAAGTAAGGTAACTTAACTGAGGCTATTCGGCACCAGGTCAGGGCCCAAGTGCAGGACTGTATTTTCTTAAGTGTAAAAA